GGGGGTATCTATGACTGTAAATGCATTCTTGATCCAACATGAAGAATTCATAAAGGGAGATAATTCATTAAATTTTTTAAACAAGGCCCATTCTCAAAGACACGGACTTATAGTTCCCCTTGAGAAGCAAACCTTCATGTTCTCGTCAAACACGATCAAGAGTCGAGACGTCGAGAGGAGTTCAGAAGTGAACGGACAGAAAGTTTCACAACAACTCAAGACATTTCAGGAGAAGTGTCAACACAAGAGGTGGATAAGTGTCACAAATCCTCGCTCTACAGCAAGCTCTGTGCGCTGTACCATCTACAACATAACGCTTGCAGACCCTTCAACCTTCAAAAACATTTTCGTTTTAGTTTTAGTAAGTGTTTTACGGCACTTGCAACACAATGAGGTCATATAACTGCCGAAGATTAGAGATGTTACAAGAGAGTAACAAACACAAAATAGAAGTAGGGGAAATAAAAACGATAGATGTTTGATAGGAAAGAAGGAATAAACCACACCAGAGCACCCGCCAACCACAACATTTTCGTCTTCCCAGGAAACATACAGTCCAAGCAGCTGATTAAACACTCAAAGACTAACAAACTGACAAAATCTTTCGCTGTCTATAGCAGGGTACCCAAGAATTACAAAGTTCTATCTGCTAAGTTCCTAGTTTTGAGAAATTTGACATCAAAACTTTATAGGACGTCAAGTCTTTTTTTAAAGCAATCTTTGGAATATCTTGCTAACGACTCTGAATAATCTCCCAATTTCGATAGAGCAGATGGAACATTTGATTTCTGGCTTCATGGTCCCAGTAACTCAAAACAGCCAAAAATACGTGAAGTGTGCGGACAAAATGAGTTACTTCTCGGATTCAAGCCCTATGGAAATAGATACAACAGGCTTATAGGTGAAATTTTAACAATTTATAAGTACGAAATAATAAAAGGCATGTTATACTTAAAGAATATTGCATCAATACGATTTTTGGCCAATATCTCCTTCTGTGGATTGCGAGAAGTATCTCATTTTGTCGGCACGCTTCTCATATGTCAGATAGAACATTGCGGCGTGCGTCCACTCACCGGCCAGCTTTCTCTGCACCTCCACGATGCTGCGGGGGAAGGAGCCAATCTCTGCCGTCCGCCGGTTCTGACCCTGCCACCAGAACCTGTCCGACCTGGTTGCCAGGCAACAAACAAAAACACCAACCATTAATGCTCTGTGACGTGGAGGAAATCAGACTTCAGTTTCACCAGCCATTAATGCTCTGTGACGTGGAGGAAATCAGACTTCAGTTTCACCAGCCCTTAATGCTCTGTGACGTGGAAGAAATCAAACTTCAGTTTCACCAACCATTAATGCTCTGTGACGTGGAGGAAATCAAACTTCAGTTTCACCAGCCATTAATGCTCTGTGACGTGGAAGAAATCAAACTTCAGTTTCACCAACCATTAATGCTCTGTGACGTGGAAGAAATCAAACTTCAGTTTCACCAACCATTAATGCTCTGTGACGTGGAGGAAATCAGACTTCAGTTTCACCAGCCCTTAATGCTCTGTGATATTGAGGAAATGAAACTTCAGTTTCACCAGCCATTAATGCTCTGTGTATTGAGGAAATGAAACTTCAGTTTCACCAGCCATTAATGCTCTTTGATATTGAGGAAATGAAACTCCAATGACACTTTGAAGCCTACAGTCACTATGCAAGCTATTCGAATACTGTGTGCAAACTTTTTTTTTTCTTCTTCATACTTAAGTCCATCAGTAACATTTCCTACTCAATACTTTTGTTGGCTCTACCTATCTCTCTGTATAGTTGTATTTTCCTCAACTTTAGACATAACGTGCCTGCTACAATTTTACAACGGGTTGCCAAAAAATATATGACAATCCATTATTCCTTAAAGTCACATAGCATTCAAATGGCTCTACCGCGCTTCAAATAGTTGAATGTTAACAAGTAAAGTCAAACGTATACAGCTCAACTCGATATGTGAGGCAGCGTGGTGGAATCAGGCTCTCGTCAATTTTTGGGCATGTAGAGTTGTTAGTATCATCTTAAAGCTTGTTCATTTGTCTTTATTTGGATGAAAAAAGTATCCAAATATCTTGAATACAAGTTGGGATATTTACGAAACAAGGAGGTGGGCGTCACCTGTTTTCAGAGGTAAAATTATTGAGAAAATGGCCGCAAAAGGATATTTACTTCCTTAGCTTAAGAGTCTGTGGTAACTGAAAATTTACATTTTCTGTGTCTTTAATCAGCGTTTTTCAGAAAAATCCACACAGAAATGAGTTCTTTATTGGGCATGAGAGGTGTTGAGCCAAAAACAAAAATTTAATAAAAATTCACAAACCTGCGGAAAAATGCAAGTTTCTTCACTTTGATTATTTTGACGAGAGCCTGATTCCACCACGCTGCCTCACATATTTTATTTGCATTTGGCGTATTGGAGTGACCTGGTTGCCAAGCAACAACAAGTGACACTGGCCATTATATCCGCCTCCGACACACTACTGTGGCTCATGAGTTTGAAAAGTGACATCCACATTTCACAAAGAACAAGATATGGGCAAGCTAACATTGAGAAAGAAAGAAAGAAAAATAACAGAGACACCACAAGGGCATGCTTGCATACACACGTAAGTCATTTTTGACAACAGAGATACGTCTGTGTGCTTTTTAGTTTCAGAAAGTGTTTTACGGCACTTGCAACACAATAAGGTCATGTAAGAGCAGAAGATTAGAGTAGGCGTTACAAGAGAGTAACAAACATAAAAAAGGAGAGATAAAGACGATAGATGTGAGATAGGAAAGAAGGAGCAAACCACACCAGAGCACCTGCCAACCACCCACCGTCTGTATGCAATACTGCCCTCAACCAGTGGACAACAAGTCATTCGCTACAACAACAGCAGGAGGAACATCTCAACCCCAGTGCTCTTTTGTCTTATCTCCATTTTTAGTAACAGTGAAAACCGTTCATAACAAAGAGAGTGAGCTTAAGAAGACGTCACATTTTCACTGTTTTAAAAAATATGGAGAGACATGACAAAAAAGCACTGAGGTCACGCGATGTCCTGGCCTCTCACCTGCCCCCGATGACGGTGACCAGATCGCCCTCCTCCAAGGTCAGTCGTCCTTCCTCGCTGAAGCTCTGAGTGGCTTTCACGTTCTCCGGCAGCACCTGAAGGGACATCAGTAGATCATTCACCACAATGTATTCATGTGGATGACTTCAGAAGAAATATGATGTATTCATGTGGATGACTTCTGAACAAATATGTCAGTTTAGTTTTAGTACAGGTTTTACGGCGCTCGCAACTGCATAAGGTCATATGAGCGCCAGAAGATTAGAGGTGTTACAAGAGAGTAAAAAGTAAAGTTGTTCCCGCATCCGATCCGGACATTGGGGATTGCCTTGTTAGTGAGACAACTTCCTGGGCCTTCAGCATATTGTGGTAGGGTGGCCAGTTCCTTTCCAGGCCGCCTTTACTTCCCCAACTCGAAGTCAGGTACCCATTACTGCTGGGTGGGCAGGAGAGGGCAAAAAAAATCTGTGTCTGAACCAAGGATCGAACCTCAAGAGAGTAACAAACATAAAAAAGAAGGGGAGATAAGGACGATAGACGTTTCATTTTGAAAAAGAAGCACACCACCACACCCGAGCACCCGCCAACCACCCACGAAATATGTCATTAAAATTAAAATGTTGTATGCCTCTCAGTCTGGGAGGGTAAAAGTAGAGAAGACTGAAAAATCCCCGATTTACAGGGATCCGCCATAGATTACGATCACCGAAAAACATCCATATTTTTTTTTAAAATAAAAAAATAAAAATAAAATGTGTCTGGGAGCGGCACACACCTCTGAGAGCAGATCCTTGAGCGCTATGAAGGAGGGTCTGTCCATGGGCTTGTGGGCCCAGCACTGAAGCATCAGAGGGAAGATGTCTGCGGGGCAGTGGGGAGGCTGGGTCAGACGCTCGCCCTCCACGTCGATCCGATGCAGGATCTGGAGCGCGGAGACAATATATATACGTGTGAGGCATCGCAATGAAATCAGGCGCTCGTCAAACTAATGAAATCGAAGATACTGGCATTTTTTACATCAGTTTGACCATTTTTTTTCTCATTGTTGTTTTTTGGCTCAACCACTTTAATGTCCATTTCAACAGAAATTTCTTTGTGAATTTGGCTGAAAAACATGGATGAAATGCCCCCCAAAAAGTACTTTTTAAGTTTCCAAGTATTCTCAAACTTTGGAAATCAACAAATTTTGACGGCTATTTACTCGATAATTTTACCTCTAAAACCAGGCATCCCCCACCTCATTCAATATTTAATTGCACATATCTCAACTTGTATTTAAGATAGAAGGCATAATTTTCATAGAAACATAGCCAAATGAAAAAGCTCTAAAATAAACCAACAACTCCAGATGTGCAAAAATTGACGAGCGCCTGATTCCAGCGTGTCAAAACACATATATATGTGAGGCAGCGTGGTGGAATCAGGCTCTCGTCTATATGTGAGGCAGCGTGGTGGAATCAGGCTCTCGTCAAAATAATCAAAGTGAAGAAACTTGCATTTTTCCACAGGTTTTGGAATTTTTATCACATTTTTGTTTTTTGGCTCAACACCTTTCATGCCCATTAAAGAACTCATCTATATTTGGATTTTTCTGAAAAACGTTGATTAAAGGCACAAGATATATAGATTTTCAGTTACCACGGACTCTTAAGCTAAGGAAATAACTAATCTTTGGCGGCCATTTTCTCACTAATTTTACCTCTGAAAACAGGTGACCCCCACCTCCTTCATTTGCAAAATATCCCGACTGGTATTCAAGATAAATGGACATGTATATTTTTTTCATCCAAATAAAGACAAGGGAACAAGCTTTAAGATGATACCAATAACTCTACATGCCCCAAAATTGACGAGAGCCTGATTCCACCACGCTGCCTCACATATACGGGTTTTTTTTCTATTTCTTTCGTGTATATAGTTAATGTATGGTTGTGAAAGCTCTTCTTATGTGGTTGAACTGGTTTTTCTTGACCTACACCAAAAGTGGGCAGTGCCCTACCTATAGGAGAAGTTTGGTTTCATTCGTGTGTATATTTGTTTGGTTATAGAGAAAACTCCTCGTCTTCATCCCATCCGTACGCTTTGCATAGCAGTCTGTCAAAATAAATTTTTAGAGAATGATTTTTTAGAGAAAAACTGCAAGTTTCAAAGAGATCTTCGTCTACAAGTGTTCTAAAATGTGAAGAATACAACCCCCACGGGGTACAAAATGACCCCCGGGCCTACGGACAGGGTTATAGAGAGGTGTGAGGGGTACCTGGGAGCCGTTGAGTCCCAGCCAGGGCTCTTGGCCGTAGGTGAACATCTCCCACAGCGTGACGCCAAACATCCACACGTCGCTGGCGTGGGAGAACTGCCGCGACTTGAGGCTCTCCGGGGCGCACCTGGAGGGACACAGTGGGGAGAGAAACCAGACGTACATCAGCCGGGACAGAATCTTACTTTATTATTATCTTAGACTACACTAATACTGGTACTTTAAAACATTTTGGGGGGTTTTTACAGTGCTCACAACTGCATAAGGTCATATGAGCGTGCAGAACACATTAAACATTTTCAGCTGATAGGAAATTCTGAATTTTGCCATGATGGCGGCCGAAGCCTTCTCTTGTCGATTTTAGACCACCAAGGGATCTTTAAAGTGCGCAACAATAAGCATCTGTCAGCAGCTGTAAGTCGAGTGGCCTGGAGGAGGTTCAGATCACGGGCTCTGATGGAGCCCTTTACAGAGTCGACCGACCAAGCATTTTCTTCGTCCCCCTCTGGGACAGAATCACCGGTAATTAACTGTTACTGTACATTTTTTATACACTCCTGTTGTGATTCACACAGAAAACAAACACTCCAATTTCTCTAAGAACACACAAACTGCTGATACGACAATGCACCCACCAGGCAAACGGAACTTTCTTCTGTTCTGACATCACGTAGTGATCAGTCTGGCTGGGGAGAGCTCTCATCAGACCAAAGTCTCCGATCTTCAGCTGAAAGACACCAATAAAGTACACAAAATTATATTTCTTTAAAATTCTTACGAATATTTCACGCAGTTAAGCTGTAGTACTGTCTTTAATTCACATTTGAGAAAAGAAAGATAAAAGTCCTACTGCTATAGCTAAAGAAATCCCTGAAGCTAGATGTCTCATTCAAATCAAGCCGATCCTTTCTATTTACGATGACCACAATTAGTTAGTTTTAGTAGAGGTTTTACGGCGCTCGCAGCGGCATAAGGTCATATGAGTGCTAGAAGATGAATAGAGGTGTTACAAGAGAGTAATAAACACAAAAAAGAAGAAGGGGGGATAAGGACGATAGATGTTTCATAGGGAAAGAAGAAGCAAACCACACCAGAGCACCCGCCAACCACCCACATGCAACACGTTCGTTTGTACAAAAAGCGCAACATTCTAACGGCGTGGAAGTGCACTTTGGGAGGGAGGGGGGGGGGGGGGTGGCGCGGAAGTACACCCACCAGTTCAGCTGTCTTGAGCAACACGTTGCGACAGGCCAGGTCGCGGTGGATGAAGCGCTTGGACTCGAGGAAACTCATCCCCACGGCGATCTGTATGGCGTACTCGCACAGCGTGGAGATGAGCAGCTGCTGTTGCGACGAGTCCCTCAGACGGTCCAGCAGCGAGCCCAGTGGGGCCAGCTCCGTCACCTGCGACCACCACGATTGGTTGTAGTAAAGTGAGAGTTTTTGCAACACGATTAGGTGATAGAAGTGCAGAAGATTAGAGATGTTACAAAAGAGGAACATGCTTTTTTTTTGTAATGGTTTTACGGCACTTGCAAAACACAATTAGGTCATATAAGTGCCGAAGACAAGAGGTGTTACAAGAGAGTTTTTCTAGTCTTAATGAGAGTTTTACGGCATTAGCACCACAATTAGGTCATATAAGTGAAGAAGATTAGAGGTGTTATAAGAGAGTAGAGTAAAGTAAAGTAAAGTTGTTCCCGCATCCGATCCGGACATTGGGGATTGCTTTGTTAGTGAGACAACTTCCTGGGCCTTCGGCATATTGTGGTGGAGTGGCCAGTCCCTTTCCACGTCGCCTTTACTTCCCCAACTCGGGAGTCAGGTACCCATTACCGCTGGGTGGGCAGGAGGGGGAAAAAAAAAAATCTGTGTCCGAACCGATGCTCGAACACGGACTTTCCGCTTCGGAGACAAGAGCATTAACCACTCCGCCACTGCACCCTCACAAGAGAGTAACAAACACAGAAAGAGGGAGGACGGATTAGGAAAGAAGGAGCAAACCACACCGGAACCCCCACTTGTGATGACAAACATAAAAAAATGTTGCAACATTGATTGGTTGGTCAACATACAAAGTTCCCCCAAGTACCAGCCCAATCTCTGTAAAAGTTTTCCCAAGTTCCAGCCCAATCTTTATACAAAATTCTCAGGGTCCCAGCCCAATCTTTATACAAAATTCCCAGGGTCCCAGCCCATTCTTTATACAAAATTCCCCAAGTCCCAGCCCAATCTTTGTACAAAGTCCCCCCCCCCCTCCAGTCCCCGACCAATCTTTGTACAAAGTCCCCCCAGTCCGCGCCTGGACCTACCATCATGAGCGGGGAAGAGAGCACCACGCCGTACAGGTGGATCAGGTTGGTGTGCTTGAGCGTGTGCATGGCGTTCACCTCCTTCACAAAGTCCTCAAACGCACCGGGCTGCGCCAACGCGTCTCGTCGCAGGATCTTCACCGCAACCTCCTTCTGAAACGGGGCAACAAAAAAAAGCAGGATAAGCTAAACTCCACTCAAGAAATCAGCGAAGGAGAAAATAAGGTGGAAAAGTATTTGTTTCTACACAGTATCTGTGAGGCAGGCTAAAACAGTGCCTGGACTTGGGTGGCTGGTGCCTCTAGAAATAAATAATTGAAGGTCAAGTATATGTGAAGCAGCATGGTGAAATCAGGCGCCCGTCAAAATAAGGAAATCAAAGAAATCTAAATTTTTTGGGACAACGATCAATTTTTTGCTTATTTTCTCTTTTTGGCTCAACACCTTTCATGTCCATTTAAAAACACATTTTTGGTTGGATTTTACTGAAAGACATTTATTCAATACACATAAAATGTAAATTTCCAGCTTCCAAGAACTCTCTCAGGCTATGAGAGTTTTCAAACTGTGGTGTCCATTTTCTCGCTAATTCTACCCCGGAAACCATGTGACCCTGAACTCCTTCAACCGCAAATATTTTGACTTCTGTTCAACATAGATGGATTTTTTTTTCAGCAAAAGGAAGGCAAATGAACAAGCTTTAAGATGACACCAATAACTCCATGTGCCCAAAAATTGACGAGCACCTGATTCCACCACGTCGTGACACACATTTTGTGTACACAAACATTTCTTTCGTCATCAGCACATTTGTGTCATTAAAATATTTTAAAAGTAAAACTGTAATCGTAAATTTGGGGCTTAAAACACCCGAGCAGATACTCAACGACTTACTTTATTTCTAAGTGAAGAAATCCTTACACATAATTTCTAAAACCATTGTCACTCTCATTTTTTAAAAACATTCCACCGTAAAACTCCCATAATACAACACACCAATGTAAAACTACGGTAAAATAACACAGAAAACACTCACTTTTTTCCCCGAGGGGGCGACCCACTCTCCCTTACGCACAACTCCGAAGGATCCGTTGCCGAGCTTGTTGAACACGTAGACGTTCTTCTTGTCTATCAGGCAGGTCAAGGCCATGTCGCCGTACTCCGACGGGCTGTGAGGCAGCTTGCCCGACCCTGAACTGGGTTTGTCTGGGTTGGCCTTCCCACCTGGCAAGATCTGAAGATAGCGGTGGAAAAAAGCAGAGCTTCGATGAAACCTGTGGGAGCTATAACTTTTACTTAATTACTTGTTGATTACTTAATCCTGGGAACAACGTCATAGCACTCCGGGCATGGTTGGTTTGGTAAGTGTTTTTACGGCGCTCGCAACTGCATAAGGTCATATGAGCGCGCGGGACACACCTAATATTTTCAGTTGGTAGGAAATTTCGAATTTTGCCCGGGTGGCGGCCGAAGCCTACTCTTATCGATTTTAGACCACCAAGGGATCTTTAACATGCGCAACTTGCACATGGGCCCTCCGAGATTTTTCGCTCTTGTCCGAGAAGGCTAGGTGTAGATCTTTCCTACCAGAAGATCAGGGGTGTGGCTGGAAAGACAGCAGTAAGAAGGAGCCAAGCAGCAATAGAAAGGCTGCAGAAAGAGTCAGGAGCCCAGAGGAGGGGGCAAAGGAGGTGAGGGGGTGGGGGCAGAAAGTGGAAACGAAAGCAGACAACGGAACATTGCTAGAGAGCTGGAAAGGAGGTGAAAGGAGACAATTATAGAGAAGAAAATTTTTCGGTCGCTACCCGGATTCGAACCCGGGACCTTTGAATGAGAGGCCAATACCTTAACCTCTAAGCCACGAGAGCCCCCACTCCGGGCATTGCCGTACGTGCTCCGCTCCCCGCTCCATAAAGAGTTCAATAAAGACATTCCTTAATTCTCCCTAGTAAGGAATCCCATCTTCCATTGTGACTCCATTCTGTAGACTAACTTCTTTTTTTAGTTTTAGTAAAGTTTTTACGGCGCTCACAATTGCATAATGTCATATGAGCACCAAGGGGTGGATGGATGTCAACAGAGAAGTCCAAACGGGGAATCAGGCTTACTCTGCTCACCTCTCTAGCCTCAACAGCACAAAGACTTATCATAATTCTCCCCAGACAGGAGTCTCATCTACCACTGTGACTCCACGCTGTGGATTTACTTAACGTCAAGGTTTTTTATATGGACATCCCACCGTTTATTGCAAATCAAGAGAACGACAAATAGACTAGAGTATTCAAACCAAGCATTTAGAGTAAACGATGCAGAAACACAGATATACAATGGAAAGAAGGAAGTAAGAAAAGTTTCAGTGAAAAGTCCAAGCCACGAATAAAAATACAGTAACTTAAAATTTCAGCTTGAGGGAGGAAACATTTATCACAAAATGGATATCATGACAACATTCCAATAACTGCTTTTGCTTCTACATCTATACGTCAACGTTCTGCAACCATTAACAACAATGGCAGTATGGGTGTTCTTAGACACCAAACACTGAGCGCATGATGTCACAGCTAGCAAAAAGAAGTGCCCCCTCACCTTGTCCAAAATGCCTTTCTTCCGAATGGACTTGTGTTTCTTGACAGTGTCCAGCAAACGACGTATCGCGGGTTTCCCCATTCCAATTTTCTCCAGATCTTCTGTCTTGACATAGTCAAAGTGAACAAGCCTGAAACAAAGGTAGGTGTACATAGTCAAAGTGAACAAGCCTCAAACAAAGGTAGGTGTACATAGTGTACAGAATCAAAGTGAACAAGCCTCAAACAAAGGTAGGTGTACAGAGTCAAAGTGAACAAGTCTCAAACAAAGGTAGGTGTACATAGTCAAAGTGAACAAGTCTCAAACAAAGGTAGGTGTACAGAGTCAAAGTGAACAAGTCTCAAACAAAGGTAGGTATGCCGTGTGCACAAAATATAAAATGCAAACGAGATGCTCGCTCTCCTTGAGTGAACAGCAGGATTTTTACCTCAACTTTAGGCACAATAAAGAGCGACAAAATGTAAACTTCTATGGGTTCTGTCTAACTTTATTCAATCAAAATCACAGTACAATAAAAGCTTGTTTTTGTTAAGGGCTCACACTTTTACAGAAGGAGAGATCGCCAGTCTGTCAACTTGAAGATGTATGTAAGCATACCTTCAGATTTTCTGTCATCAACTTCTAAAAACTAATCCAGACACACTCTGTCACAGAGGGAAAGAAAACTTTTCAAGCATATTTAGGTAGATGTTTCAAACTTTCCATAGGTTGCAAAATAGTAGTACAAGAAGGCACTGTTCCGTCAGAACAGAGGATAGTGTAGAGTTCAAGTGTATGTCTGCCGAGTCCTGTGGTAATGGCACATCATGTTTTTTTAGTTTTAGTAAGCGTGTTTCGGCACTTGCAACACAATAAAGTCAAATAAATGCCGAAGATTAGAGGTGTTACAAGAGAGTAACAAACACAAAAAAGAAGGAGGGGAGATACTGACGATTTAAAACGTTTGATAGGAAAGAAGAAGCAAACCACACCAGAGCACCCGCCAACCACCACCACGACAGTTTACCTGGTGACTTGAAGGTCATCCCGGAGTTTGATGTAAAACTGTCCCAGCTGTATCTCATTGAGCAGATTCACCAGCCACTCCGAACCCTCGTCCTCCTCCTTACAGGCGGAAGACATGCTGAGTCAGCTAGCAGAAACAGTTGCTACTTAGAAAAATCTCTGAAAAACAAAGAAAAAGAGAACATGATGTCATGCTCCTGAAAATCAATTAATACGCACAACATCCATAAAAAAGTAACTACCTCGTAACTTACATTTTTTGCTTGCTTCGTTTTTATGGAAGCCTGCAATGTGAAAAATCAATCCTCACTTCTCATTGGCAGCAAAATCTGGGGGCAGGTGGGGTCATATTTAACTCTTATCCTGCGTCTGTGCCCAGATGCGTATATATCTTAAATCAGCAACCGATTACGTCAGACGTACCAGGCAGGCCTCCGGGGTCACTCAGTGTGTACTGTTGGTGTACTGCGCGCGCGCCGGGAAACGTGTGTTTTCGCCATGAAGGAGTGTGTTAACCGATGATGAAAATAACGCTCTATCTTTCAACTTTCATAGCTTTCTATTTATAAAGTGTTACAAACACATGAATAACCCCCTCTCACAAGCTGATAAGACATTACGAGTAGTTACGCCCATTCAGATTATAACCTTTCTGGACGCTCTTGTTATGAATGACCTGAGGTTCGAAAGGGGATAAAATTTAGGTCAATTTCCGAATGTTTAACACTCAAATTGTTCTTTGTACCTGCACAATGGTATTCCAAAGTATCAAACAAGCTTATTTTTTATCAGGTAGTATCATTTCATACAAAATCAAGCTCATTTGAAATATTTTGTATAGAAAAATGGAAGTCTTGTTTCCTGATACTTTCGAGCTTTTCATGTCTAAGTGGGTCAATTTCTTCTATAATTTCATTGGACGAACATCTAGAGCTACCAACTTGGCATGTTTTGAATGAGACGTGTATGCCTCGATTACGAACCAACGCAGGCGGTTCTAGAAGAAGGCCTCAAACGCACACAAAGTCAAGCAGACTGACGCACACACACTTGACCTGCGTGAATGGGGATCCGACTCGGGACCCAAGTGACACGTAAGAGGATGCGCGTGCGCTGAGCCAGGAGCTACACTGACTCGGGACCAGAACGTAGGCGAGGTGCCGAAATAGGCTTATCGGGTGACATAATATAAACCCGGCTCCCGCAGGATGAGTGAAGTGTAAGTAAGTATGATTTCACAACCCTGTAGCTTTTAGATCTAGATCTAGATCTAGGTTAAATGTAGATTATAGATCTAGATCTAGATTTAGTTTAGCAGTTAGTTAGGCCTAGACTCTACTCTAGAGAAGTTATAAAATTTATCATTGGAGCCAGAAACGAAGAGGCAGGTGAAGAGGCAGGTCGGGTGAGAATAGCAGACGACCATCATGTTAGATCTAGAATCTAGATCTAGATCAACGACCCTTTGCAAAAGTTTGCAGTGACCTCCGCCTTACACAGAAACCAGGGTTTGTTTCCCAACAGGGTTGTTGTAGGTAGGTAGACCTCCTAAGACACACCAGCCTAGCCCAAGTCTTCTAAAAACAACGGTCCTGACTGAACCACTCACTGTCACACTTGTGACACTGTCTAATGCAATGTTTTTCAAGTCTAAAAAAGCTAGAATCAAGATCTATAAGTAGAGTAACTTGTCAAATGATGCACCTGCTGTTTACTTACAAACACAGAAATATTTTGTACGAAGTCATTTCATTTTCAAAACTTTAACAACTTCGGGGTCAGCTCAAATAGCAACAGGCTTGTCCCACAACAGTGGAGACTATTATTACAAACCTCCTCCATCTTGGTCTCTCAAGAGTAGTTCATCTTCGGAGGCACTTCCGGGTCAGGTTCGAAATGACGGGCTAGGCCAAGAGGCCAGGCCTTGGCGAAAACACGGAGGTTTCGGGTAGCCCAGTCTGATACACAGGTAGGCAAAAGAGGCGGTTTGGAGATGAATCACAGGGGAAAAGGTAAAACGGGGCAGGCGCACCTCTTTACCGCTCCTTTCTAATCAGAAAGCTCTCGCGCTCAGGCTTCAATCAGATATAAAAAGACAAACAAAAAAAAACATGTAAAAATTTGTTTATCCGTGAGTGTAGGTATAATGTGTGTGTGTGTGTGTGTGTGTGTGTGTGTGTGTGTGTG